AAGGCCAAATAGAAGGAAACACAAAACTGTGAAAGCCCAGACCAGTACCACAATGGCTATTCATGAACTGAGGAAATGCAATCCTTCTCCCAGGCTGGAGCGAGGGTGGGCGGGCAGGGAAAGATTTAGAGATATTTAGCAGTATCAGAACCAGCCAGTAACATTTCTAATGTATGTTCAGCATTTTATCCCTGTCAAAGTATTTTCACATAATATGTGGACTCATCTGCTTTTTACCACCCTGTGAAGAAGGCAAGGTAGGAATGATGAAACAGAAATAAGGAGAAGCTAGTATTAATAGCTAAAACTATTGAATATTTATCATATGTAGCCAGTGTTCTTCTTTGTTTTTTGTTTGTTTGTTTGCTTGTTTTGAAACAGGGTCTCATTGTCATCCAGGCTGGAGTGCAGTGGCATGATCACAGTTCACTGCAGCCCTGGCCTCCTGGGCTCAAGTGATCCTTCCGTCTTATCCTTCCCAGTAGCTGGGATCACAGGCATGCACCACCATGTCTGGGTAGTTGTTTTTTGTTTTTTGTTTTTTTTTTTCTTGTAGAGACAGGGTTTTGCCCTGTTGCCCAGGCTGGTCTCGAACTCCTGGCCTCGAGTGATCTGCTTGCCTCAGCCTCCCAAAGTGCTGAAATTACAGGCATAAACCACCGTGTCAGGCCTAGCCAGTGTTCGAAAACACTTTACTTAATCAGAATTTAATCCTGTCTTGTGAGGGAGAGCGAGTACCCATAACTATCCTTATGTTAAAGAAGAAATGAGTGGGACTTGAGTAACTAGTAGATGTCATCACTGGGATTTAAGCCAGGTTTCTCTGACACAGAGCCCCAGCTTCTGATTCATTAGTTCTAAAGAAGGGCCCAAGTGGTTGCATTTCTAAGAAGCTCTGGGACTAGGGTCCATACTTAGAGAACAATTGATCAAGGTATTTCCTGACTCATACCATAGACAAGTTTCCTGTTCTGCTGATTTTGGTCTTGTGAAGACATGCAATCCACATAATACTATTTATAAAGGTGACAATAACAACAATGGCAGCTAACATTAATTAAACACTATTTTACTATCGTTCAGGCACTACTCTAGGTCTATGATATGTGTTAATTCATTTACTGCTCAGGGTTGGGAGGTAGAAGAGAGAGAGCACCACAGAGTTTTGAGGTCAAGTACTGGCCCAAGTATACAAACTTCCAAAGTCAGACCCCTCACACTAGCAGGTAAGGATGTGAGAAAAGAGAGAGAAAAGGAGAAGGGCAGGGAACACTCAGATCCCCGAAAGTCAACATAGGACAATCTTGCAGTAGCATTAGTGAGGAGTGATTGCTGGATTTCAAATCGTGTCCTCCTCGGCATTTACCTTTATTATCAGGCACGCTATATAAGAGAATAGGTGACTAGATATTCAGGGGAGTGTGTGTGTGTGTGTGTGTGTGTGCGCGCACGTGTGTGTGTGAGTGTGTACTCTTCTTGGTCTGTTATTCCCTAGTCATTTAATCCTGGGCAAGTTCCTCTTTAAGTTTCAGCCGGCTATCTACAAAACAGAGATAGTAGTGGTGGTGGTGGTGATGACGATGATGATGATGATAATGATAATGATGATACTATGGTAGATTGTTTATTGGTCACAGATTCCTCCCACTCAATGTGCACACTCCTTTGCAATGTGACTTTGCAGCTCTTCCCATCAAGAAATGGAATTTATTTCTACACTCCCTGAATCTAGCCTGATTTGAGAGTTGCTTTGATCAAAAGAATATGGCAGAAGTGATGTTGCATGGTTCCAGAGCCTGGGCCTCAAAAGGCTTGTAGCTTCCACCTTTGCCTTCTAGTGAGGCTGCCCTAAACCATCATGAAAAGGAGCTGGTGTAGCCTACTGGGGGATAAGAGGTATAGCCTACTAGGGGATAAGCTGGTGTAGCCTACTGGGGGAGGAGAACTGAGACTCCCCAGCCTATACCCAGCACTGACTGCTACTCATGCAAGTGGACCCTAACCCTAACCCATCAGTCATCACAAACCAGATGTTGTCTGATAAGGAAAACAATGGACACATAGATATTTTATTTTTACACAATTCCAAGCAATTAAGTCAAATGATTTTACTCCTTTCTTACACTTTTCTAGGCATCCTCTGTTGAGACAGAGTACCTTTCGAAATTACTTTCAAGGGACAGGCAGTTTATATCCCAAGTGACTCATTTTAACTTCTCACAGCATCTAACCACAGCTGTTTATAATGGACTGTTATAAAGTTAAAGCTCTTGCTAAATCAAATAACAACCTAGCAGGAATGCCCAGTCTAAGGCTTTAGAGTCATGAGAGCTGCAATTGTAGAAACTGTCTTTTGAAAGAGCATAGCTTTTACACATTAGCTTTCCAGGACACAGTTAAAACTTGGCTTAAGCTTCAAGAAAAAAACTGGAACATGACATAGTTGGATGCATAGTTATCCTGATGCCCTACCTGGGAGCTCATATAAACACTGCAGTGAATCTCACTCGAGAAAAAGGCTACATGATCCAAAGCTGCAAGCCCAGGTCTGGTGCTGGATCATGTGAGCTCTGTAACACAGGGCTGGGTTGGCCCATTGGGTATTGTGTCTGTAGAGCTCTGGAACTGGTTGTCTCAGACTCTTGACTGCAGCAGAGCCTGGCTACCCCTTGGACTTCTCTCTGTGTTTCACAATGGTTAAAGCTAGGCAAAAATGGGACAACGTTCTTTTTGCTAAAAGACAACCCTTTAGTGTTCAGACAGATAAATGTTTATAATGGTTTTGATTCAATATTTTTCTTATTTGACACACTTAATTTTTTTCTGTACTGTTATATATATTTAAGCTATGATGTAAATAAAATGTCTTGTAAACTGCTGTTAGAATGGAAGTTTTTGCTAGGCACATTCAGCCACAATGAGGAGGTGCTCCCCCAAGAAACACACTTTTTTTTTTGAGATGGAATCTCGCTCTGTTGCCCAGGCTGGAGTGCAGTGGTGCAATCTCGGCTCACTGCAAGCTCCGCCTCCCAGGTTCACACCATTCTCCTACCTCAGCCTCCCAAGTAGCTGGGACTACAGGCGCCCACCACCATGCCCAGCTAATTTTTTTATATTTTTAGCAGAGACGGGGGTTTCACGGTGTTAGCCAGGATAGTCTCAATCTCCTAACCTCGTGATCCGCCAGCCTCAGCCTCCCAAAGTGCTGGGATTACAGGCGTGAGCCACCGCGCCCGGCTGAAAGTTTGTTTTCAAAAGTAAGTGGTGATACTACTCAGCCGTGAAAAAGAATGAAATAATGTCTTTTGCATCAACATGGATGGAACTGGAGGCCATTATCTTAAGTGAACTAAGTCAGACATGAAAAGATAAACACTGAATGTTCTTACTTGTAAGTGAGAGCTAAATAATATGTACATATGGACAGAGAATGTGGATTGGTAGAAAATGAAAACTCAGGATGAGGGGGTTGGAAAAGGGTGGATAATGAGAAATTATTTAGTGGGTACAATGTATGTTTTTTGGGTGATGGATACCCCCAAAACCCTGACGTTGCCACTATGCAATCTATACATGTAAGAAAATTACAATTGTAATTGTAACTTTAACTAAATGTAAAGAAAATTTTTAAAAATGTTTAGTTAAAAAAAACTAAGTGGTGAATTTCTCACTCATGTCAGTGGTTGAAAGGGTTTGAGAGTTGGAGATTTAGGGAGAGCACAGTGCCAGTTGATGATGGTATCCTTAAGTCATAGCTCTCTTGCTTCCATTTCCTGTCTTCCTTTCCCATTTTCCAAGCCCAGACAGATCCGAAACCATAATTATCAAGCTAGGAGAGGTGGGTGAAAAGCTTGGTGGAGAGTGAGAGAATTTGGACGTTTCCCTTTCCCTACTTTAAGCCCAAACTGGGTGGGGTGATGGGAGAGGTGAAGCTAACATTTAAGTCAAATTTAGAGTTCATGTTATTTCCTGGAATTGGTATTTTTGTTAATGAACTGAGAGTAAGTATTGACTTTTAAAGTGATATAAAGAGTGTCCAGAAAAGTAATGGAGTTTTTCTAACTTCTATTCCGAAACAAAGGAAGAACTAGGTCACAGGAAAGATTTGTAGTAAAGGAAAAGTAGAGATAAAAATAAAGTCCCATGAGTTATTCAACGTACTGACTATATTGATTTTGTGATCAATAATGAAACATGCGCTCACCAGCCGAGAACCATGTGCAATGTGAAATTCTGCACAATGCAAAAGATACCAGAATGCTAAATGGATGTGAAGTCATCTGACTTCTATAAATGATTTGGGTTGTTTATTAGGAAAAAGCTGAAGTCTGCCAGTGGAACCTCAGTTTTTTGATGTGCTATAATTACACATATTGCCTAAATGGTGGACTAAAACGCTGCAAGGAAAGCAAAACCAAAGAGATGAACACCTGAAGCAGAATCACTATTTGAACAGACTCCTGTGATGGTGCCACTCTGCTTCTCAGTCATTTGACTAACGTCACCTTGTGGAGGTGGTTCAAGGATGTTGATGTGGAAGTAGTATGTGACTTCTGTTCATCTTTTACTGTGTTCCTGAGCCAATTATAGTGATTCTTGAATCTGCCATTGCTTTGGACTCTCTCCCTTCCTTTAGAGCATAAATAATTATGACACATACGCAGAGTTGCCTGCAGGGCACTGATTTTCATTTCTATTTTCTGGTTTCAGGACATGTGTAACACCACGAACCTTGACTTTGGTTCAGAAAATATGGCCAAGCTACAGTGATGCCATGGCAGCCTAATTATCTGCATCTCATAAAGATATAGAAATTTTGAGTCAATTTCAAAGATTTTCATTATGCAAAATGCTTTCCTGTACATTTAGCAGCCAGGACACAGAGTGAGAGTGCCTAATCCCCTCCTGCAGCAGTGGCATTTTTAGCAAAGCAAGTCTTTTCAAGCAATGAGCCTCCTGAGACATGCACAGACCACACTCCACACCCCCCTTCCTTTTACCTCTTCAGTGGTGCTGGAGAAGGGCTGAGTAGTCGACAAAACCCATGATGTGTCTGTAATTCCAGTCATGTGCAGATCAGGATGCTGCCTCTCGCTGCTGTTTTGGCTGTAGTTTTCTGCAGTATTTCTGATGAAGACCTCTGTGGTATTTCTAATAAGGCGTTCCAGGCTATCTGGAACTGCATTAAAGGTAGTGGGAATCTGGGGAGGAGCCGTGTTTCTAGTGCTCCTCACCGAAACTTCTGCTCCCAGGCCAGCTGAGGTAAGGAAAAGATAGTTGCAAAGATTATTCTCATGTTTCATGAATTCTTCACATAAAAATCAATTTTACTTAGCAAAAGAGGGCCTTTTCAATGGGCATGTGGATAAGCTTCAGTTAAATGAAAAAAGCAAATATACTTTGAGTGCGTGACAATGTTCATTTGTCCTGTCCAATTCACCCATCGTTTATCCATCTATCAATTTTATAAGCTGGAAGGAAAGTCGTAGAAACTACGCTACCAGAGAAAAACCCAGCTCTGTGTAGAAGAGAGAATTAAACCTATTCTATGAGAATTTAGGGGGTAATTGAATTGGCTTCAGGGGAATCCATGAGTCTCCAAAAACTGTGCAAAATTCTATGTATATGTGGATGTATGCTTTTCTTCTGTGGGGCACTGTAATAGCTTTTATCAGCTTCTCAAAGCGTGTGTTACACAAAATACCGGGTTGAGAATCACTGTTAATGACTTGCCTAACTTCATCACAAAGACTGACAATTCCTTGAAAAGTAATGACACTTCATTAGCCACAGTGCAAACTGTTTCTAATGCAACTGTGTAATCACAAATGATGAGACTGTGGTATTTTCTAAGCTATCTTCTGGAAGAACACAGAATTGACTTACAATTTATGAGCTGGTGGGATTAATTTATAGCTTTGTTTTGCAAGGCTGAATTGCCCATATTAAAAAGAAATTGGTTCATGAATCAGGTTCACTTAGCCTTAATTTTAAAATGTGCTCTCCATCTCTTGGGGATCTTGCTAATGTGCAAATTCTGATGCACTAGAGATGGTCAGAGCCAGTATTAAGGTCTCAGGTGATGCTGATGTTGCTGGTTTTGGGGCTGCACTGTGTAGCAAGACCCTAGAGCACACTGGAAGCACTGAGAAGTCCTGTAAATTATGGTCTGATGTGGTGTGTTCAGATGTTTCCATCAACTCCATGGTGCACTAGAGTTTTATGGGATACAAAACCCCACAAAACCTTGTATAATCAGATAAACATACCTTTGAAGAGTTTCTGGCTAAAAGACTGGGAGAATGAGGATTTTATTTTTCACTACTCATTTACTGGTTATTTATTCAAACAACTGTTTATTAAACAACTACTATGTGCCAGGTGAGGGCTCTTAAAGAAGCTATTTATCATCCTATTTCCCTGTTCTGGTCTGCCTTACCTACCCCTCTTTTGAGTCTCATTCCTTTCCATTCCAATCTCAACTGATTAGTGTATTTCATATAATAATATATGTAAAAAAGAGGGAAATGAGGGCACAAAAGGAGAATTAAGATGGAAAAGGTATTTTTATAATTTATCAAGATATAAATATCAGCCGTTCTTCTAAAAGTTAATAAAATGATCTTGGCTATAAAGCATCCTTTCCTTGAGATGCAAAAGAGTGTGCAAAGTACTGTGTATATAAGGGTGATAGATTTAGCAAATAAAAATACATCGTGTCCAGTTAAATTATAATTTTAGATAAATAGCCAACCAATTTTTAGTATAATTTGGTATGTTTAGTGTATCCCAAATATACAATAATACAAAGATAACATACTGTGTATTAGTAATATACTAAAGATTATTTATCTGATATTCAAATGTAACCGAGTGTGTGTATATTATCTGGCAGTCCTACTTGTACATCTACTAGATCTCAACTTTGATAGATTTTTGGACATTCCCCTTAGTTTCTGTTTGTTTTTGCCTTTCTAAATCTTGTGCCACTATTACTGCTTTGGTGCTCAGGTTAGCCACTCTGGACATAGATCAGATTTATTCAGCCTTGGGGTGTTTCCTACATGACAAACTCAATTATACTATTAGTGAGATTCCTTTACAACACACTCCAAGAAACAGTCTTAACTCTGCAGTCTTGCTTGAGTTAGGTGCTTGAATGTTCCCTTAAGTAGACGTTTGTCTATTGTAGGGATGTAAAAATTTCTGTGTATGGAGATTAGCATTTTGATTGTTTTCAGCTTTGGTTGATCCTGATCCTCTGAGTTGACTGCTACATATGACGATTTTAGCTCTTAGACCCTCAAAAAAAATTTAACCATGGGGTTAGGACAAAAACAAGTTTCTAAATACCTAGCATGTAATTACATGTTTTAGTATGTCAACCCACGCTTACTCTTCTTCACTAAGGAGCTGTTGGTAAGTTTTTATCCTAAGAGCTTTTTAAAAAATTAGTCAGTTTACATAATTCAGTGGATGAAACTGGAGTTTCCCAAAAATAGATAAATTTTCAAAACACTCTTGAAATTTCTCTGCAAATAACATAGGTTATTACCATTACATGTAGCTTTGGACTATCTTGTGGAAAAAGTTTCAGTCTTCTGTTATTATCTTTAATTAACCTTCTAAATATATTTTTAAAACATCCCATACCAAACAAGTTCATTTTCCATTTTAGACCACCACTTTTTTTCCCAAAGAAAGAAACGACAGAATATTCAGGTCCAGAACCCTTTCATTTTGTGTCTGTGTTTTTAACTTGTGCTATTTAAGAAGCAAGAAAGAAGATTTAGTCTTAACATTCAACTTACAAGTTTTGTCAAATTTAAAGCAGTGGTTTGCAAACTTAGGTAGGCATCAGAATCACATTTGGAGCTTGTTAGAATATTGAAGCCTTGGTCCTCCCCCTAGAAAGTGCGATTTAGCAGACTTAGTGTGGGACCTGAAACCTGCTTTTCTAACAAGTTTCTCAGGTGATTCCTAATATACGTGTACATACGGTTTTAGTTATATACGTAATATGAACCAAAAATAAATTTGAATCATTTATGTGGTTACTGAAGGATTGTAAAATGGATGAAAAGAAAGAAAATCCATTATAGAAATATATAAGACCATCAAATTAAGTTTATTTTATCTCCTGAACTCTGTTGAAATAGGTGCTATGAAATTTCACTTGAAAATAGTAGATCTTTGGATAGTTTGGTACCCATGAATTCTCTGGGTGTTCTTTAAAAATGTATATTCATTTCACAGTTCATGAAATAGCAAGATGTTTTGACAAACACAAGGAAAACTTCTTATACAATGGAACAATATGTGAAAGCTATTTTTGAAAGCTTTGTTGTACCATTGTTACTACATTGTTTCCCTACTATAACAATTTCTACTATACAATTTCTCCCAGAACACAATTCAAGGTAAGGTCGACCATTCTTGGCCAATCTAAAAAGTTTTAGCATTCAAGTTGCATATAGCTCTTTTTATAGGGTACTATTAGCTTACAAAGTGATTTGTAATGGCTGCATAATATCAAGACCATCTTTCAAATTTATTTTTAAAAGAGCAAAGTGTATTTTACCTTATAAATTAATATATGACTCAGAAATAATACTAGAAATACAATTTCTATAATGATAATAAAGATAACATATTGTGTAAGTTTCCCTTCTTTAAATGATACAAATAACTTTTAAGCACAAAAACAAAATAACTTGAATGAAACTCATTTTTGAAATAGAAGAACTTAACTATACTGGTACTTTCTGTTCTGTAGGAAGATGCCAAATATAATATGCTTTTTTAAAAGTGAGTAAATCATCTGGAAAAGAGATAACAAATGAAACAGGAGATACTTTAGAAAAGGATGGTATCTATCCTATCTATCTATCTATCTATCTATCTATCTATCTATCTATCTATTTATCTATCTATCTATTTATCTATCTATCTATCTAGTTGGCTCTTTGAATCTGCGGGTTCCTCATCGGTGGATTCAATCAATTGCAGATAAAAAATATTAGGAAAAAAGATGGATGGTTGCATCTGTACTGAACAGGTACAGACATTTTTTCCTTGTCATTATTCGCTAAGCAATACAACAACTATTTATATTTACATTGTGTTAGGTGTTATTAGTAATCTAGAGATAACTTAAAGTATATAGGAGAACGTGTGTATATGTAAACACTACATCATTTTATATAAGGAATTTGAGCATCCTTGGATTTTGATGCCTGCAGGAGGTGCTGGAACCCACCCTCTATATTACTAAGAGATGACTGCACATACACACACACACACACACGTGTGTGTGTGCATTAAATAAGGTTTGACTGGAATAGATGGGAACGATAATGGACTAAATAATTATCTGAAAGGGTTAAAAGAATAATTAACATTTCAGAAAATATAATTAGTGAAATAAAGAGTACACCTAAAAATACATACCTAAATTACTTTTAAAAGACCCATGATTAGAAAGAAAGTAAAATTAATAAATGGAAATTGATACCAAGACATAGCATAGTAAAACACTAAAGCATAGCACAGGGAAAAATTAGATGAGAAAAATTGAAAGGCTAACTAAAGCAAAGAAATATGTTTCAATAGCCAACTATTACTCAACAATTCTACCACGCGTTGCATTATGAAGATGTGCTTCTTTTACCTGATACCCCATGTTTCCTTTAGGAGAAAAGACTGAAATAGTAGGGTGGAAGTAAGGCATACTGGGTGGAGGAGGAAGAGTGGCTCCAAAGTTCAGGGCTATCAGGCTATAAGGAGAGAGGTGTCAAACCTGAGACTAAACAGAGTCAGGGAAAGGGGAGCTGGAAAGGGGGTGGATAACTTGGCTTGCGCAAGACTGACTTGTCCATTAGACACAACAGGCACAGTGATTAGGGCCCAGGATAATTTTAGGGCAATACAATGATTTAATTTGTTTGAAAATAAAACAGAAACTTTAGAGTCAAAGAAAATGTTTTAACTTTTTCATAGATCAGGAAAAATGAGAATTTTAGGCTACATGAAAATCTATTATTTTACTTTTCTTTTTTTCAGTAGGGGAAAGGGACCACAGAGGCAAAAGAACCCAGGGCCCATGAGAGTCATATATAGCCCTGTGTGTGCCCTGATAAGTTCAGTGATTTGTCACAGGTTGAATATGGTTGGGGAATGCTGGATGCTATACCTGCCATCTTCAGTGATCACATAAATCATATATCAATAATCACTGATAACATTATTTTCAGACAT